CTTCAAGCTCCGTCGTAGCACGAGAGACTTCTGTCTATATGACGGGCAATCCTGAAGACTTAGCCAAAACAGTCAACGATCACCATGTTATGCTCCATGCACAACAAGATACCCTTCTCCAAATGAAGGATATGCTGGCCCAACTCCTCGCCGAAAAAGGCCAAAAACCTGAATCCTCTCGGAAGATGGCCTCTAAAGGAAAGCAGAAGATGCTCGAGAACTTGGATCACGAAACTCATAATTTGGGGTCCTCTTCTGAAAATGAGAATGAGGTGGAAAGAGAATAGAATCCTCCTCAGTCAACTAAAGTGGATGAGCTAGAAGCCCGCCTTAACGCAATAGCCAACAGAAGCGAGCTTCGCGAGGAAGGGGTGATACAGCCTTACCCCGCAGAATGGGATACAGCTCCCTATCCGCCGAAGTTCAAGGCCCCTACCTTACAACCGTTCGATGGCACAGGATCACCAAGTCAGCATATCTACTACTTCAAGTCTCAGACTGGAGATGTAGTGGCAAACGACGTCATTCTGACCCGGCTATTCATCAGTACCCTCAAAGGTGTCGCCTTTGAGTGGTTTATGAAACTACCTGCTGGATCTATTCAGAAATAGGTAGATTTGGAAAGGCTTTTTTTTTGCCAGATTCTTTGAAGACGACACAGAGGTCTCAGTCCCGACTCTTCTCGCCACTAAGCAGAAGAAAGGAGAATCTATCAAGACCTATGTTGAAAGATTCCGTAGCATGGCATTGCGATGCCCTTCAGGTATGACCCAATCAACCTTGGTTGAAACTTGCAGGCACAACTTGCAGACCCAGCTCCTTGCTCAGATGGGGGTAGCAGAATGTCGCTCCTTGAGACAACTGGTTTCGCAAGGGGAGCAAGCTGAAGAGATTGTCGCTCGGATCAAAGCTGAAGAAGAGCCACAACCCAAGCCGCAACAGCAACGTAATCAGAACAACGCCCAGCGGTCTAAGGGAAAAGAGACCTTAGCAGCTGACTACATGCAAGTACCACCGCCTACTAAGCAAGGCAAGACACCCAATTAGCAAAGAGCGCCCAAGCAGTATTCGTTCAAAGAAGAGCATGTGGACACTCTGTTCCAACTACTTCGGAAGAACAATAAATTGCAGCTCCCTAAAATCAGAAAACTAGATGAAGCAGGGAAGGTAGATGACCCCAATTACTGTCGCTATCATAGGTTCTTGGGACATCCTACTAGAAAGTGCTATGTCTTCAAAGACATCTTGCAAAATTTGGTGAACGCTAACGTACTCACTCTGAAGCAGCTCTACACCGCTGCCAGACGCAGCTCCAACTGACGCCGAACACAGTTCTATACTGCTGCCAAACGCACCTTCAAACATCGCAGAACACAGCTCTACACCGCTGCAGAACGCAACTCTACATCGCTGCAGAACGCAGCTCTACATCGCTGCAGAACGCAGCTTCACATCGCTGCACGACGCAGCTTCACATCGCTGCAGATCGTACTTCCAGATGCTGCGTTCAAGCGCAGAATCTATGCCAGAACGCTAGTCAAGGTTCTGACCTGTTCAAACACGATCCATGCAGTTTCGAAAACCGCTCCTCGTAGTTTACGTGGGTTGTTACAACCGATTAATGAGGCAACTAAACCCTCATTTAGGAGCGGATTATGGGGGCAGTTACACCCCTAATCTCCCTATAAATATCAACAAACTCAACAGAGTTCGGGGTTGGATTTTTGGAGAATCAGAGAGAGAGATCTTGAAATCGGATTCAGAGAGTGAGAGGATCAACTCCTTACACAGTCTGGGGAATCATCATCAGCTGAAGAGTCTAGACATTCGATACTTGGCTTATTAACCGAATCATTTTCGGTTTCAATAACTCTTTTCATATTAGAGTTTGTTACTCGTTCTAAGCTACAATACTCGTCAAGAGTTATCAACCAGACAAGTCAGTTGTTCCAGTGAATTGAAATTTTCGGATCATCAACAAGAAGCAAACTCGACGCGAGCATTCGAGGGAGGCATCTCATCGCCACCGTGAAGAACCCAGTTTTAAACAAAGGGGAGAATCTAGATCATTCTCTTCTCTTTTGTAATCAGGAAATCCAATTGTAATCGAGAGTTGAGAGATTTGTAAACATTCTTTTTCTAAGCAGTTAGAGAGAATAAAATCAAATACAGTTCTTTCATTCATTTTCTTATTGCAAAATTTTCCACAAACAGTTGGATGGCATCAAAATATTAAAAGAAGGGATAAATGCGATATTAGTACTTACAATCAACAAAGAACTATAATACCAACTTCAATATCTCCACCTACCTTCACATCTGCAGAAGACATATTTAACCGAGAAAGCGAAGGTAAAATTTAATTCATATTTCTAAGCAATATTATTATATATGAATATAGATTAACGCCTAAATTTACAGGCGTCAAGGCACCAAAACCCGAAAAAGTTTTATGCCGAGATTATTATTGTCATAAGCTCCAGATAAGAGACATTTGACAATCTTTTATACTTACATCAGCAGGTCGTTTATTCCATCAATATGTTATTGATATGTACATAAAGCTTGAAACAACAAGGCTTGATTACTTTAGAAATAAACAATCAGAAATCAGAGCAGAGTTATTCTTAGGCATTGTCGACAGTGTAGATACCGACGAAGCAAATGCAAGCCAAGTGGGCAAAAGAATAGTTCTTCCATCATCATTCATAGGTGGTCCTAGAGACATGCGTCGCAGATACCTTAATGCAATGTCATTAGTACAACGATTTGGAAAGCTTGATATTTTTATAATAATGACATGTAATCCAGAATGGGAAGAGATCATTGAGCAACTACATCCAGGCCAAAGCCATAATGACAGGCCAGACCTAACCTCAAGGATATTTCGAGCAAAGCTCCAAGACTTGAAAGATCAACTATTTAAGAAGGAGATCTTTGGGAAAGTTGTCGCACATGTTCATGTGATTGAGTTTCAAAAAAGAGGGCTACCACATGCACATATATTAATAATTCTTATTGGAGATCACAAGATCACATCATTAGATCAGTATGATAAATATGTATCTGTAGAAATTCCAGACCAATCCAAACACCCGATCCTGTATGAATTGGTAAAAAAACATATGATGCACGGACCCTGTGGAGAGTTGAACATGAAGAATAGTTGCATGTAAAATAGAGAATGTAAATATCACTATCCTCACGATTTTAGTTCACAATCAATTCAAGCAAAAGATGCTTACCCAATTTATAAGAGAATGAATGATAATAAAACAATGTTGGTCCGCAATAAAATCATTAATAATCAGTGGGTTGTACCTTATAATCCATATTTACTGACATGTTATAATTGTCACATTAATGTTAAAATATGCTCAGACATTAAAACAGTGAAGTATCTTTACAAATACATATATAAGGGTCATGATAAAGTGACAGTAAACATTGAATATAATGAAGGAGAAAGACTTGTGAATGAAATCAAAAATTTTCAAGATGCAAGATGGGTATCAGCTCAAGAAGCTTTGTGGAGAATATATGAATTCTATCTTAATGAGATCTACCCAGCTGTCATCAACTTACAACTACACTTGCTGAATCAATAATTTGTTTCCTATTGGAAAAATCAAGATCTATCGAAGCTCATCCGCTGGGACCATGTCCACAAGACGATGCTTACAGAATTTTTTACACTATGTTCAAAAATTAAAGATGCTAACAAATCAAAACCAAAAAAGGATCAATAAAAGGAGTTATTATATTGTGAACTTCTCGAATATTATGTTTGGGATTCGACAACAAAATGTTAGAGTCCAAGAAAACAAAGACATGTTATAGGCCGTATAAATGGTGCTAATCCAATTGAAGGGGAAAGATATTACTTACGCCTTTTACTTACTCACATTAGATGTCCCACCTCATTTGGGAATCTATTGACCGTGGATGGAATTCAATGCACATCATTCAAACATTCAGCTCAAAAATTAGGTTTATTGGAATCTGATAATAGCATCAGAGAATGCTTAGATGAAGTCGTCATCTTTCAAATGCCAGCAACCCTTTGCCGCATGTTTGCAACGATATTGGTTCACTGTGAGCCCGCAAATGTTAACAAATTATGGGATTGATACATTGACTCATTATCTGAAGACTTCTCAAGGAGACCTGGTGCTACGAAAGTTTCGATTATAAACGACACCCTTTACAACATTAAATTCTTCTTAGAGAGCATGGGAAAGGATATCAAGAAATTTGATTTACTGCCTATTCAAACTAACCCTCATTCAAAAGGAAGTTCATACCCAAGAGAAATTCAAGATGAACTCAATGTACAAATTCGAAGACCTCCATGCTGAATCATCACTCAATCCAGAACAATATAATGCATACACTTCCGTACTAACACGAATTCAAGGAAATAAAAATGGGATTTTCTTTATTGATGGGCTAGGATGAACTGGGAAGACATTCTTATACTGTGCTTTGCTAGCCAAAGTAAGATCAGAAGGGATGATAGCTCTTGCTATAGCGACATCAGGCGTGGCAGCAGTAATAATGCCTGGAGGCCGAATAACACATTCCAGATTTAAGATAAAAAACCCAACAACAGAATCATCTATGTGTAGCATATCCAAGCAAGATGGAACCTCAAAGCTGATTAATATAGCTAAGTTAATAATTTTGGATGAAGCTCCAATGGCTAAACGTGTTACAATTGAAACATTAGATAGAACATTAAGGGATATAATGGATCAAGATGAACCATTTGGTGGCAAAGTAATTAAGGGATATAATGGATCAAGATGAACCATTTGGTGGCAAAGTAATAGTATTTGGTGGGGATTTCAGACAAGTTTTACCAGTAGTACCCTGAACCATTTGGTGGCAAAGTAATAGTATTTGGTGGGGATTTCAGACAAGTTTTACCAGTAGTACCCCGAGCAACAAGATCACAAATTGTTAGAGAAAGTTTAGTAAGCTCATATTTGTGGAGCAAAATGGAAAAGTTGAAGCTATCGAAGAATATGAGAGCAAGAACAGATTCAATATTTAGCGAATTCCTTTTAAGAGTTGGAAATGATGATGAACCGACAGTGGCTGATGACCTAATAGCATTGCCCACTTCTATTTTGATAAAGAATCAAAGTGATGATTTACCAGAGGATTGTCTAATAAATGCAATTTTCCCATATTTAGATGAGAACTTCAAATCCATTGACTATATCAAAGATCGAGCTATCCTGGCAACAAAAAATGAATATGTCGACATGCTAAATGATAGAATCATAAAACAATTTCCAAGTGAAGAAAAAGAATTCTACAGCTTTGATGAAGCAGTTGATGACACTAATCATCACTACCAGCCAGAATTCCTAAACACGTTGCTACCAAATGGACTACCACCCCACAAGCTGGTATTAAAGAAATATTGTCCTATTATTTTATTAAGGAACCTGGATCCGACTAATGGGCTATGCAACGGAACAAGAATGGTATGTCAAGATTTTAATTGTAATATAATCTACGCTAAGATCACAATGGGCCAACATACAGGGAAAGAAGTTTTCTTGCTAAGAATACTATTATCTCCAGCAGAAGATGAAGGGTTCTCGTTCAATTTCAAACGAAAGAAATTTTCAATACGGCTATGTTTTGCAATGACAATCAATAAATCACAAGGACAAACAATTCCTCATGTAGGCATCTATCTACCTCAACACGTTTTCTCTCATGGACAGCTGTATGTTGCTTTATCACGAGGGACTTCAATGACAACAACCAAAATCCTAATAATATCAGACGGACAATTTAAAAAATATGAAAGATACACAAAAAATATAGTATACAAGAAAGTCCTCCAGCCAACAAACATGAAATGAACTTCAAAGTCACAATAGCTATTCTAAAGGTAATTAATTTATAAGAATAATTGCGTATGTTCATTCATGTTCATTCCTATAACTTATAATTTTCAATATTGTATAACTTTTTCCCTTTAGCATTTACTTTTTAACCCCACTCAAACAATATTATTAGTTAAAAATATTCAAAATCTTATGAGGAACAAGAATTAATAAATTCATTTTCTATGATATATATTATTAGTTAAAAATATTCAAAATCTTATGAGGAACAAGAATTAATAAATTCATTTTCTATGATATAGTATATTCTATAATATTGTTCAAAACTAACATGTATATTTTAATCTATTTAACAGAAAATATGATTACCGGTATTGAAGAACATACTCAGCACATCCAAATAAGCCAGCTCAAGAAGTTTCAGAAAGAATGGATCATACTTCGAAGTGCAGAGGCAACTTATAAAAATGTAAAAGGGTCAGAGAAAATACTAAAGCTGATTGTTGCTGACGCAAAGGTAAAATAAAATTATTTTTAATATTATATTGTTTGCCCAACGTTACATCTGATCATATGAATATTGCTAAATCTCATTTTCTAATCGGTAAATTACATTAAAATACCGATAACTATCAGAATGGCTTTTTATGATGTTTCCCTATTTACATATAATATATTAATTTATATTAATTAATTATATTTTTTATAAATTGATCTCTGGTGTTAATAATATTTGCAGGGTAACAAAATACAAGCAGTAATGTACGGAGAGACTATCGAAAAGTTTATAGATATGCTTCAAAAAAATTAAATTATTTTTATTTCAAATGGAGAAGTGAAAGGAATAAACCCAGCTTTTCCAAGTATCCACAAGTCACTTAAATTAGTACTAACAAAAGACTTATCGATCAAAGAAGCACCTACAGGATTCCAGTTGGAGAACATATTTAACAACTTTATCCAATTTGAAGAAGCATTTTCCATGAAAGATGCAACAAAAATTAGTAAGTACTTACCAACTTCTTACTTAAATCTTCAATACAAAATGACACATTAATCTACAGAATCATAATCTTTTTATCAAATCACTTGCAGATATTCTTACAATAACAACTAATGTTAAGCCGACGATCAACTATATTACAAGACACAACAAACCAGACACTAGGAGGGAAAATCACGCTTATGGATGTTAGAAATATCATAAGAGAAAAAAATATTAACGTTCTTTCTTTTTCATATGCAGTGGAATGCCAATGCGTGCAAATTTATTTGGAGATTTGGCTACAAATGAAGGATCAATTCTTAAAACAGAAATTAAATATAAGCCTGTAATAGCATTATCGGATTTTAAAATCTCTATTTATCAAGGTACATAAATTATTGCTGAAATTCTTATTAAAGATAACTAAACATAAAATTACTCCTATAATTTTCTTATTTTTGCAGGAGATACAAGCATATCGTCGCAAATTATTTCAACATTATGTATCAACCCAAAAATAGAACTAGCTAGCGAATTAAGGGAATGGTGAGCAGAACAAGCATACTTTTATATAACCTAATAATAAAATATTATTATATTTTAATCTAATATGCAAGTTTCAATTGGAAGAATCTGCAAAAGCAAAAGGATCTCCATCGATGCTTTTTAAAAATGCCAAGGAAATTCATATTAGTGATATTATGCATAAGTCACAGAATTCGATACAGGTACAATATTATATACATATTCTTATCTATAAATTTAAATCTAACTAAACTTTATTAATATACAGGCACGGTATTGCACATTTAAGACAAAGATAACTACTATTTTAAATAGGCTCGAGCCATGATTCTATACTTGCGAAGGCTGTGACAAGAAGGTTGATAAAGATGTTAGTAAAGAGTGTCTGAATGACAAATACCGCAGAATCATTGATGACCTAGTACCAAGGTTAAGTAATATATATTTTTTAATGCCATGAACATATTAAAATACAATACTAATTGTCTTTACAAATTAACAAAGAAAAATACATGTACTTAGTTAAGATTCTCGTGGAAAATGGCACGGATAATGCAAGAGTAACACTCTTCGACGTAGCAGAAACTCTTATTAGATGCAAAGCAAAAACATTCATTACAGAAAAGAAAGAGGTAATTCCTAACTCTATTCAAGTAATAAATTAGAAAATAAACAAATTCATAAGTATTAATATAACATTTGTTCTCATTGCAACAGAAAAATAATCAGAGTCCATATTTCCAAAAATTTGTTTTGAACATCGGAAAAACATTCAAATTCCTGGTGAAGTTAGATGAAAAGACAAAAGATGAACGAGGCGAAGGCAATATAATAGCACAAGAAATTCAACTCCAGCCTGATATTACAATCGACGTAGATGATGAAGATGCTACTCTAGAGTTGCCCAGAAAAAATATAAAGGTAGAAAAAGATTGATCTTGGTTCAATTAGAAATTTTCAAGAACAATATTTTTTAATCATTTTATATAACAACTTAATTTTTTATTATAATTAGAAATTTTTATAAGGCATTTTCATGCAAAGTTATTAGTAGTTTTGTATGCTTATGTGATTTCTTACATCACATAAAATTACACTTTGATATTTAACCATTTTACTATATTTTATTATTGTCTATGGATATGATCCTGCATTTCGTGAGAGGCAATCGATAAAAATCTGCTTTTATTGATCCTGTGAATGGATATATTGTCAGATAGACATAAAATACTCTTCCTAATATCTAGCGCAACATGTGATCAATCATTTATGATATAAAGATGACCTTTTTAACCAATTAGCAAAGAATTACTATTGTGATGAATTTGCTTGGGGTTGTCACAAACTTCAATATTCATTATTTTCAAAAAAAAAACATTGGCTTACTAATTATTACTTGTTGAGATTGTTGCCATGTTGAATAATAGACCAAATTTGATCAAGATTTACTTTAATACTTTAATTAAGTTCATGTTAAGTGTTGGTGGTAGTGATCAATTAAAAATTCTTAGAACAAAAATAATTTATAAGTTTGTAGTAAATCAAACAATGATCTTAGCTTTTTAAGTCAAAAAATATTTGAATAAACTTAAAATTTTGAAATATTTTCTACATTACTATAACTAAAATTCATAATAACAATTACAATATCCCAGATACGTATATTCATCCAAGTTTAGCTTAAATTCCTTTACATTTATTTTTTTAATATTTAAATAAAATACTAATAAATCTTATAATTCAATTATACCCGCCCCCCCCCCAAATAAACCACATTTGCAGATTTAACCCCCAAATCTCGGATATTCTACTACTTTGTCCCCAATTCTGATACCAATTAAGTTAAAATACCTCCCCCGAATGTTATGTTCTGATTATTCGCAGGAAACTGCCTCAATTTTTCTGCTGAGTTGTTTAGCAAGTAAAGTTGTGCGGGGGGTACGTATTTTAACATAATGTGTAAGGGGTTAATATAGGTAAAAATGTCTTAGGTTTTGAGGCGATAAATTCGTAAATTTGGTTGTCTGGCGCACTTTGGGTAAAAACCCCATAAATTAACTTCGATGCTGAAGACAAAAAGGAAATTACCAGAAAGTTGGGTGACACTTGGTGGAGTTGGAGGATTCATTAAACATCCAAAACAAATGCCCAAAATTCCGCAACATACCAAAAAAAAAAAATAAAAAAAAAAAAAAGAATTAGTAACTTCAACATCAGATTTCCTGTGCGTCAATAACAATCTGAAACAATGTTTACCCGTGAGAGAAAACGCTCAGTCGAATTTCGTATTAAACGGGATCGCCACAGCCATGCATCTCTAAAAATAACCACGGAAAAATCAGAAAAAGTTCAAAAAAAAAACAAGAATATACAAATGGTTATGTTACCGTTTGGTCGCCTCTCGGCGTGCAAACCCTGAGAACCCACTCTCTCAAACGTCTCCCCGTGCTCCCCACGAAAACACGACTCATTGATTTCGGGCCTAAAGCTTCTCCCCACAAAACCACAAATTTCAAACAAACTACATTAGAAATTATTAATGCACTCGTCAAAAAAAATTCGCCCGGGTTTTCGGATATCAAGATTTCACCTTTATTATTAGAAACCCTAGGATCGAGGAAAGGTCTGGAGTGTGGAGGCAAAAGTTTAGAATTTTTTTTTTTTTAATTAGAGCTTTTTAGATGGAGAGAGGATCTGAGAGGGATTTTTGGTTATTTAAATACGACGACGTGGATGGACGTGCGGTCCTGCCTCTGTTGAAGCGGACACGCTTGAGGGTTGTGAAGAGCGAGCGAGTGACACGAGGGCGAGGATGTGCGACGACGCAGGGGACGACCGAAGTTGTCGCGTCTCGAGGTCAGGTTAGACGTGTTACGGCCCAGTCGAATAATCTCGAGCGGCCCCATTAAAATAATATAGACTGCGAGGTTCGTGCCAGTTGTTCGTGGGCTTGGTCGGACTTGGTTCGTTAGGAGCTGAAGTGGAGTTATAATTCAAAAGTGATAATTAGTTTTTTCAAAGATTGAAAACAAAAAGTCAAGATCAGACGAGTTGCCGTCTAAGGCGCCCAGTTTTCAGGTACTGGTCCGAAAGGGCATGGGTTCGAATTCCCATTCTTGCACCAGGTGCTATTTTTGTTTGATTTTTTAATATTGGATATTACTTTTAGCTTTTTGTTGTTTTTGAGAAAATATTTCGTTTTTGGCCTTGCCTTTTTGTAGGGAATGTCTTGAGAAGTTTTTTTTATTTTTGGCCCTTTTCCCATTGTGTCTTGAAACTGACATAAACTCGTAGCATCCCGATCATCGGAGGGCGTCAAGCCTCAGCGCATTCTTTATGGCTTGTTCGATGATTTGCATGAGCCGGCTCCTCCAGTAAATCCGCCGACCAATAACAAAATCGAGGGGAGCCCTACAGCAGCAACCACCCGCATCACCTTTTTTTTTCCCCTCACCCAAACCAACCTGAATCTTCATTTGTGCGGCACTAATTACCAAATTAAAGAAAATGTTTTGCATTTTCAATTTGTTTGTGAACCAAATTAAATGTCCGGCACTTTTTGGCTTTAGACCTCAAATAGACCAGCAGACTCGAGTGTTCAGTCTCGAAGCACAACAAAAGACCACATACGCAGCTACACGCATCAAAACTATACAAATAGCAAGCACAATTCCCCGCACGCGTAGCCTTGAACATTCTTTCTGCCAGCACTACCACAAACCCAGATGATGTTACTTCTCACTTGTCAATTTGCTCTAGTTTGCCAAGCCCATTGCCAATTTGGGCAAACAATTGAGCTGGATCCTTTCTTGCTGCATTTGCCCTCAGCATTCGAGCTCACCTTTCTTATGAATCCTGCCCCGTCGCACTCCGGACACTCTAAAATAAACAAACAATTCATAAAATTTTGATCAAGTATTTGTTTATAGTATTAAAAGAAAAATTGACTAGATTACGAATAATCTCTTTCATATGTACACTTTTACAGCATGTATCGCTCTATGCCTTCTCAATTCCTGGAGAACGCCGTTATGCCGCAATTTATCATTCTCCAAAAGGTTATTGCATCATACACCCCTATCCCTCGTGCTTATATCTTTAGACAGGTCGGGAACGAGAACTCTTGCAACATATTGACCAGTCATATGGACTGATTACAGTCTACCAGGGCGGTCTAGTTCACCCTATAGGGGTGCAGTTGCACCCCTAAATTTTTTTTTCAAAATTGCCATTAGACACCAATCTGATTGTCAGTTTTCACCTAAGATTTTACAAATGGCACCCAACCTAAATTGAAACACACTTGTGGAAGCCCCATTGGGAATTTCCATACGAGAGGCACTAGGGCCACACATGAACCCACACCTGTAACACACCTCATCTCTTGCGTACAGTGCACCGGGTCCCAATTGAGATTTCATTTTTAATTCTCATTTGGGGTTTGTGGTTGCCTGTAAGCATGAGAGGGGGTGTTGTTCGGAGTGTGGTTCATGGTGTGCCCCTATCATTTTTCCTTTCATACGAACCACATAAGTGGCCCAAAGACAAATAGCGAAGTAAATATGCAAAGTATGAGACCAAAACAAAAAAAAATCCACCCAAAACTATATGACTAAATCCCAAACGCCAATAAATATCTCTCCCCCCACATCTAAGGCCCAAAGACCTAAAATTCCCAAACTCTAAATCCTAGAGCTCGCCTCAAATCCTAAATCTGAGAGTCCTACCCTCGGACACGGCTACAGGCGGACCTCGACATTGTTCTTAAATGTTTTTATACGTTCTTTGATAAAATCATTTTAGAAAGACAATCTTCTATTAATTATGTAGTTGCGTGACCAAGTGTTTGTTTTTATGAATTTGATTTGATTTGTGAAGTGTTATTTTATTGGCAACAGTAAATATTGCAAAAGTGTTCATAAGGATGAGCGCTTAGATAATCATCTAAGAACGCGGACTAAATCACTATGATGAGCTACAATTGTGGATGATCACGTTCCGATTTTTAACTGCCAAATCTAATATTCTAAAATCATCAGCCACACACAATGGTTGGAGTGAAACCCATCGTGGTTTGACCGTCCCGTCGAGCTACTTGAAAAGTCTATCCTCATATGACGGAAACCGTTAAAATGTGTACGAACAGATGAAGTGTCAACGACCAGATTTCACCCCAAATTTGGTTGTGTGTTGGGGTTATCTAGAATATGTAGATTAAGTTTAACAAAGCGGATTTCATCCACAAGATGTAGCTCAATATGTGACTTTAGGCTTGTCCTTAGAGATATGTTCTAAGACGTCACCCCAAATTATGTGTTGGTGGTTTTTAGAATATGGATAGATCAGGTTTAAGAGACGCGGATATCATCTTACAATGTAGCTCAATCATGTGATTTTAGGATTGGTCCTAGATGATTATTTAACGGCCGTCACCTTAAGGACAACACTGTCTCCAAGTAATATATTATATCATATATATATAATATATATTATATTTACTATATATTTATAGAGAGAGAGAGAGAGAGAGAGAGAGAGAAACTTATGTCAACTTAAGTGGACGTCCACTAAGTTTCTTATCCATTGATGATTACTTGATTGAGCTATATTGTAGATGATCCGCTCCGTTAAACTTGATCTACATATTCTAAAACCCCAACACGTCAAATTTGGGGTGAACCCATCGTGGTTTGACCCTTCATCCACTCGTATCAATTTTAATGGTTTCGAATGAATAGAACTTTTTACATGGTTCGACGGAGGGTCAAACCACGATGGGTTCACCTCAAATTTGGTGTATTCGGGTTTTAGAATATGTAGATCAAGTTTAACAGAGCGGATCATCTACAATGTAGCTCAATCAAGTAATCATCAATGAATAAGAAACTTAATGGACGTCCACTTAAGTTGACATAAGTTTCTCTCTCTCTCTCTCTCTCTATATATATCTCGTTATATACTATATATATATATTATATATATATACTAGTATTTAGACCCATGCAAAGCACCGGTCTAAAAGATTTTCTACAAATATTGAACATATTACAAAAATAAAGTATTATGCTTTGATATGAAGTATAGTGGTGCGAAAGTGAACCAAATAATTAGAATTCATTCATCTTTTGAAATATGAATTAGAATTTAAAAAAGATGAGCAAGAAATAATATCAAGTTTTAAATATTAGTCCCTTAAATATTTAATATTTTGAAACTGGTTTCTCAATAATATATATATATATATATATATATATATATATATATATATATATATATATATATATATATATATATATAATATATTATATAATATAATATATATATAATATATAATATATAATTATATATATATATATATCATATTATTATGAGCAATATCATTAGACTGAAGAGTTTACCTTATCGCAAAGGCATTGTAGTAGAAAAAAATGTGTCATTGTTTCCATTAAGAAAAGATTAAGAACCCATTTAAATCCATATCAAGCAGTTTGTCTGACTGAATAACTCTTTTGAGGTGTACCTAATAGCAAAAACAAAAGTAACTACTGTTGTAAGGATAATGATTACAAATATCTAAAAACAAAAGCAAAAGGGTAAGACATGGATTCAGTATAAAGTTTTACACTGCATAGGATGTTTGTGAGAAAATATGAAGGATATGACACCTCATTTAAATACTTAGAATAAGATACATGCAATGCATACACCTCAGGGAAAAATCAAAAGGATGAGCACAAATAATTGATTTTAGGAAATTAAGAATGCAGTATATGCCGGATGACTTGCACTTCATTAAGAAAATAAGAAGGTAATATAAACATAAGTTTATATACAGAAGTGAAAGTCCAATTTCGTAGCAGATATATAGCTTTCAATCATAATGAATATAAAGATAATTTAAAGGGGGTTATATGCAAAGGAGTGTTAGTTGATTTAAGGCCACTTTGTCACATAAAGTTTGACCATGTCCTCATCTAGACTTAAGAGGTTCTAGGACTTGACTGTTTGATCTGTTTTTTCAATGACAACTTTCAGAATTGGTGTGACTTAGATCCTCAACCCACAGCATGTCTGTATTAGTATAGCTCAAGGGATGATCAGGATGTCGGGTGGGTATGGGGACCTTCCTCTCACAACACAACTGAAACCTAGATTTCAGTCAAGTAGCTCATAAAGAAACATAGTCTAACAGGAACATGTAGATGGTAAGAAAACTGTCTACCGCAACATATATATTAGGAAAAAATATGATCCTAACCTGTTTAGCAAATGCGTTGAAGCTTACAACTGGTCCAGCAATATAAAGAGGGGCATAAATTAAATAGCACAAAAAGTTGCTAAAGGAATGGTCGTCTCGAGGAATGCTTGTCTCCTGCCAATAGCAACAAATTTTATAAAGCAAATTACCATCACAAAATATACTCTCAGAAACAAAATAGATTGCTGATTTTCAGTTTGGAATTCCCATTACATAAGCTTTAAATAAACAGCTTGCATGACTTAAGATTAATGCACGACCAGTTCGTGAAGTTCATCCAAAAGAATCTTAACAATATTAATAAAGTTTTGGTTATCTTTTATTAATACAGAGGTGGACTGCATTTATCAAACCTCATACTAAAGGTGTCGAGCACATATTACCTGTAAAACTTGGTAGCAAGAGTTTCCAGATGAACAAATAGAGCAACCTTTTGAATGCTTCTGTATCCAACAAACCACTAAAACAAAATCATTTAGCTATCACGCTTGTTGAGAAATTAAATAAAAAAATGCATGTAGTTGAAATCATAAATCTAGATTTTTAAAAGGCATCGCACTTGATGATTATATGCATGCATCAACAGTGACATGCTTCTTAGTTAGAAAACGCAGATACAACATAAATAATTATTTATAGGTGTTATAGAATTGCTAGCCTGACAATCCATATCACGATGATGCAAATTAGGCAACTTTTATTGTTTAACATCCAATGACATATTATACTTCGTGGGACATAAATGATTATTCCAATGATAGCGCATAAAACACCAACTGAAGGCTTCAGTCTTCCAAGTACAACATCATACAACAAATTAACCATAAATAAATAAATAAAAGAGCAAACATGCATATCATCATTGATACATATAAACTGTTATTGCCAGATATCAATTAAGGCAAGGTTATGATGCTTTCTAATTATGCCTTCTTTTTGCATTGTATCATTAGAATTGACCGCATTTACTGTTCAAACGAATATTAAGGAAGATCAACCATAAAAACATACAACATTGAAAATAACAATACCTCAGAATACCATTCTACAAAGTTCTCATCCTTTTTGAAAGTCGAGCCAAGTCCAGTCTCCTTCTTCACTTCCTTCTTTTTTGCTATTATATCGATAAACAAAATAAGATCAAAATCTTTTTTACAGTTTGAAAACAACAAGTCTAGGGTTTAGTATATCACCATTCTTTGGAGGCATGATTCCACGCCGCAAACCAACTGAAAATCTCCTACAATCACATAAACCATTCATGAATAAACGTGAGTATATATCAATCCAACAAACCCTGCATAAAACCTGGTATCTTCCACTCTATTGGCAATATGTAAGTCCCTTATCTGTGATAAATGAAAGTCGATGAATTCATGAACACTCTATTGGCAATATGTAAGTCCCTTATCTGTGATAAATGAAAGTCGATGAATTCATGAACTATATATCAATTATGTAAATTGAAGTAAGTCCCTTATCTGTGATAAATGAAAGTCGATGAATTCATGAACTATATATCAATTATGTAAATTGAACAAAAAACAATAATTGATCAAAGGAACAGGAGTATATACACCAAAAAAATCAATAATTGAATTGAGCTAGTTAAACATAACACAGCTATCTATTGTGTTCCTCACTATAACTTTTTATTTCATGTTTTAGGGTCCAATTAGCGACAATAATAATTTTTTAGATTTTGATCACATCATAGAAAAAAAAAGTCCATCTGTGAAAAAACATGCCTTGAACAGTGATAGAAAAAAAACTTAATATTATCAAAGAGGCTCCAAAAAAAGGCCTTGAGCAGGAAACTCTAACTCATGCACAATAAAAGTGATAAACATGTCTTATTGTCATTCAATCCTAGCATTTTACATTTGAATCCTACAAAAATTTACACAAAATATATATTTACGGACCTAAGTTCTCAAAGGACCCAAACAATGAGCATGCAAACTATGACTGCCTTCCTTAAAAAAACATTTAGGCATTTAAACATGCCTAAAAGGAACATTAAGACTCCTGAAAAAAGATAACATATAATTGTCAAGAATCTCAAGATAATTATTGTACTGATAAGTGTCACAAATACATATATATACTTCCCTGTAATCATTCTAGATTATAGTCAAAAATTTTCTATAAATCTAAAATTCTCATTTGCAATAAATTATTTAAGGATAGAAATGAGTCTGCACAATCACATCTAATCATAGAGAACCTTAAACATATACTAATTGAGAAGAGAAACTTTTTTAGTATTTTCATTATCAATGGATATTAACCCATATCTAACAAAGAAAACTACAACATGGATTGATGATTACATGTTTCTCGTTGCATAGTCGGAGAAAACTATGTATAGAGAAATTTCACCACCCGAGCTAACTTTCTCTAGTTGAAGCGAAATAAAAGAAGTACCAAATAATGAAAAACATCGAATCTAGAAATGAAAAATATCACAAAGATTAGACCAGAGGAGAAAACACCAACCATGATAGTATGCACCATGATAGTATATATATTCATACATACATTTAGTAAAAGATCTATGAACCATTTCTTGTCAAGGAAAATGTTCTCTTCATTTCTAATTCAAAATAATCACAACTTTTCAACAAAAACTACCCAAATCTTTCAAAATAATCAACAGTACTCCCCCAAATGGCCAACTCAACATAACCCAAAAAAATCAACACACTTTACCCTAATCCAACAAAATGTTTCCTACAACAACAATAAACCCTCACAGATCGAACCGTAACTTACCAAGTAAACCCAAAATCCTGCAACCAACCCTTGCACTTTCCAAATTCAGCAAAAAATTTAGACAGAGATAGACTCACATTGCTACCCTTCCAAGCTTGGCAAACCCTACGCTCCACCCTTGTCGTTTCAGTGGTTGTGGATCCGCGGGGAGGTAGAGCTGCGTACATTCCGCCAACCAAGATCTGGATCCGAGTCCTATGGAGAGTCTCCACTCGAATCCGATAGGAAATGTCGTTTTCAGAGCTCCGATTAGATTGCGGCTTCGTCTGCCGACCCGAACTTTTTTTATTTTCCCCTCACTATTTCCTTGTGTGAGAGGACAACGAAGAGAAGGGGGAGAGGTCGTCACCATTGGAGATGGCGGCGGAGAGAGATCTCGTTGTCGTCGTCGCCGCTACCCACCGATTGAGAGCGGAAGTGGGGAGGGAGGGAGATCGCGAGAGCCGGGGGGTGGTGGTGGTTAAGATCGAAGAAAGGATGGAACGTGGGAAGTTTGAGAAATAGGCTCAGGAGAACGTGGGAGTACAGGATGAATTAAAACGTGGGTTTTCATTTTATTTTTTAAATTGTTTAGAACTTTATGTTACTATTCATTATAGATTTTTTGTTGTTCTCCTTTAGTAATAAAGAAGTATATATATAACTATAAAATATAAATCCCTAGAGTGTCTCGACTTCCATCATCCCACATGGCTTCTATCATCCCACATGACATCTGCCATAGAATTTCTCCAAGATCCTACAGCTGCTCATTGAGTCTGTAACTCGTCTTCTTTATCGGAGTCATCGTTTGTATTAGCAACATTTCGTGGAGCTTCTAGTGGAGGATTATAAATGTCGAAGTTCAAATCTCATAACATCATAAAGAAAGAAAAATAAGTATTTTTCAGCCATTAACCCTTTGGACCAATCTCATCATGATCGCTGAAACCAAATCAGCAAATAAATAAAATGTACACATGAACCATCCATGGCTGCTAAATAGATGATCGACAGATGAACTATAAATATCCCAATCAATTTACTAAGCCGATTTAATAATAATAGATATTACCATTAACCATTCAACATCTAATCATCAATGTGATTGCAAAGTTGCTTTCTAACATATAAAAAAACATAAATAGCCCGCATATCTTTAGCACTAACCCACCAACACTATATTCTTAACCTAAACCACTGTTGTGGAGAGAAAAATTAGATCAAACAAATAATAATAAAGTAATTTAACATCAAAAAGCTATCAATAAGTAATACATCTTGAAGATAATAATAAAAGATCTAATCATCACAAAAACAAAGTAAAGACAGAAAAATAAACGGATGATTGACTTCATGGCAGAGAAATTTTCTAGGCGGAGAAACTAACCAAGAGGGAGGGAGGCGGCGTTTCACTTTTTTTCCCAATTGTATTCTTTCCAATGTGTGGGATAATTTGAGAGAGGAGAACTTATGGTTATATATATAGGTAGTATAATTTGTGGGATAATTATGACCAATTATCCCAATTCTAATTCTAGTAGAATTCTACTTGACTAACGCACCAAAAAAATAATACAGTTCTAGTTCTACAAAAGTTCTACTTGACTAATACTAAAAAAAAAATATCTCATTTCCTAGTTCTATGTGACTAACACCTTAAAAATTTATCCCACAAATTATCTCAGTTTTAGTTTTAAGTTCTAGATGACTAACCCCCACTAAAAGCATAAAATGTCTTCCCTTAAAATAGATAAGAAGAGCATCTTAAGATTACTATGTAATAATAATATGAAGTGTGAAAGATATTGAAAAGGTTATAAAAGAAAATTATCAAATGATCTTACAGGGAGAATAGAAGTAAACACATATATATAAGAAAAAAATCAATGTTCTTGGTAGCGAATGAACAT